GCTTATGATTTAGATGAAGAGCTAGGAATTAAGTTGATACCTCATTATTATTAAGTAGGTTGGTAGAAAATTGAGTTAAGCGAGGAATATTGGTGGGAGAACATAAAGTCTGATAAAGAATTTTCGCACTATATATAATAAAACGTTTTCTAATATATAACCTCAATCTTCTAATAGTCTTCTAACCTATATCTATCGTAACATATTTATTGTAAATTAATTTATAATACTACAAATGCTTTATAAAATAACAATATGTTTATAGATAAACAAATTGAAAATTTTACACCTTTTAACTGCCGTGTTAAAGAACAATCTGAAGTTAGAAATTATTCGACATTTTTGTAGTCTATTCACATAGGGCAAGCACTATCATTTTGATTGTCATTTTACTTGCTTGTCTCTTTTAATTTCGTTTGTTAAAAAATCAAGTTATAATTATAGTCGGATTTCATACCAAAATTCGACAACCAAAATGGCAACGAAATTAAAATTTCTGCAAAATCGAGTTGAAATTAAGCTTTTAATTTTAAATTGTATAATTGAGTAATAATGGGAAAAATTCTCATAAACTAATGAAAAAAACAGAACAGTACTAAATGCTCGCTATTTTCATTAACTAGTGCAACTACAGAAACAGAAATTAGAAATCAAATTAGGATTAAATAATGACTTGCTGTGTGAACACGATTTTAATAAAACGACTCGAATGAGCAAAACTACAATTAAAATTATAATTACTTATGTATGAAAGCTAAAAAAATCTTCAAGATTTTAATATTACAAGCTAAACATTTGACACTTCCATTGAATATTAAATAAATAGTTTAAAACATATTATTATATATTATAAATATTATATATTAAGATATAAAATCATAAAAATGCTTTTTAAATTTTTATTCAAGATGAAGTACATTATGTTTAGAAACTTACAAAGTATTGTTTAATAAAATATATTCAATATTTCATACAATAGTTCAATAAACAAACTACGTTATGTGATTCCGTTTGCATTATTAATATTTACAAGCTTCCTGGCAATACCGTGAGTTCATATCAAACTTGGTCGTACAGCGACATCGCTTGCTACTACACATCCCACACAGTGGATATTATTTTAATCACGCCCAAGCAAAAAAAAAAACCTTTCTACTACAAAATAAAATCGTGCATGAATTTAAACGATGTTTTTGCTTCCATCCCTTAAAATAGAATGAAATTCTTCATGTAATATGGCATTTATACTGGCCGCAAGTGGCCAGTCATTTGAAAGTCTTCACATATGTTGTTTTTTATTTGTTCTCACTTCAAACAGCTGATTTGTCAACGTGCCTTTTGATTTGATTCTTAAACTGTCAAAAAAATATTGGGTGAAGGTAAAATATACATTCAAACCTTACAATATAAATTTAAAACTTATTTTTAGCTTTAAGTAAGTACTATTTGAGAAGTAAGTAAAAGTTCCAAAAAGTGGTGCATCGTTTTCAAGCAAATGCAATCACGAAATATTTGTTTACCTTTTTCTTAAATATGTCAGAAACAGCTTTCTTAAACTGTCAAAATGTCATGAAAAGCTTTTATTTATAATATATATTCAAAGTCTTTTTTTGCATTTGGAACGCATTTAGAACTCATTTGAAACTGGTAGGAACTCATTTGCACAAAATCAGCAAATGGAAGTCATTTGCGCATATGAAATTTTGTATACAAAAATTAGTCAATTGATATTCATTTGAGATTTTTGACCAAAATCAGTCGTTTGAAGCCGGTTAAATGCCATATAAGCCAACAAAAATCCGATTGTATACTAAAAAACACGAGCAACTTTGACGAAAAATCAAAATGTTTTGATTTCCGTTCAACTTATCGTCAGACCTCCAAATTTTGCTTTTACACATGAGACTTGCCACAAATTTCGCATTTCAACGTAGAAGTTGTACGACCAAATGGCATGAAATTGACATTGTCGTATACTGTGCTTACATTTCAGTCATTCATTGACTAACTTTTGCAAGATTTTGGCAGACACTTTGACTTTTTCATTAACATATACATATTTTTGTTCTTAGCCCAAATTCCAAAACAATATATATTTGCATTCAAACATAAAAAACTTGCCAAGGTCTGGTCAGTGTATACGCGCATCTACATCAGGTTTTATTGTACGTATTTATGCTACAATAACATAATTACAGAACAGCGAAATTTGGACAAAACCAAAAAGAAATAATAATTATCAAATAAGGCTAAGAATATTATGAATTCAAATTAATGAAATTTAATGTTAAAAAATTGTGTGCAATATAATATATTGGGCTTTGATATAATCGAACTACAGATTGAATTTATTAAATATATTAGGTCTGTTCAATGAGTTACTCGTAGTAAAACTCAAAAAAACTTAAGTAAAGTACATACTGAAAGCGTAGCACAAAAAAATGCCTAATTACGCTCTTTACACAGATTTTCATGGAACAGTTTTGTGTAAAGTCTGGCGAGAACACCAGTGTCGCGGAAATAATACAAAAATACAAAAATTTTAAATCAAACCAAAACAGCTGATTCACATATCAATAAAACTTTTACTTTAAATAAAATGTACGAGTAAAGTCTGTGTAGCCTTTTCAAATTTTGACAGGGATGTTACGCTCTGTCAGATGTTTTTATTTACTCGAAAATTTTTCTGGTGGAACGCATTTGGGTATACACAGTGTTATACGGCGTTTACATTGGCCGAAAATGGCTCATTTTGAATGAGCCATTTGAAAGTGTTTACATTCGTTCTATTTCATTTGTTCTCATTTCAACAGCTGATTTTTCAACTTGCATGTTGATTTGATTTTTGGCCTGTGCCAAAAAAATGTTGCATGAAGTTTAAATATGCCTTCAAACCTTACATTAGAAACTTAAAACATATTTTTAACTTCGATTAATTACTTTTTGGGAAGTAAAAGCAGTGCATCGTTTTAAAGAAAATGCAACCACTAAACATTTGTTTACCTTTTTTTGTAAATATGTCAAAACAGCTTTTTCCAAACTGTCAAAATGCCATGAAGAGCTTTCATTTAGGGTATGTTCAATGGATTCCTTTGCATTTGGAACGTATGTGGAATGCATTCGAATGTCATTCATACAGAATGTGAGAAAATTGCTCATTTTTGTGCTTGAAATTTTATATGCAAGAATGAGCCATTCGATACTCATTTTCGATTTTTGACCAAAATGAGCCATTTTCGGCCAATGTAAACGCCGTATTACTCAAAGTTACTACAGGTAGCTCGTGGAACAGACCTATTGTGAAATGTTTCATAATTTCTATTTTAATTTAAAAAGAACATCAAATAATTATTAAAAAAAAGTTAAATTAAGAAACAAACATTAAGGGTTTTTATTTAATTTTCTTGCTTCTAGGTAATATAAAGCAAATGAAATGTAAAGCAGCTGATTTCAATTTACTATTTTATGTCAATTATGTAGTTTAAAATACGAAATACCAAGCACGTCTGAATACTTAATTGTTTTGTGTTTATTGAAGTAATAATTTATGGTTAGAAATACCATTACTATAGAATCTCAAGTTCTACTACACTAAGAGCAAAAGTTTAGTATACTTATTTATAAAAAGTTAAGTTGTATAATAGTCATAATTTCTTCTTTCTGAGTTGTAAAAAAAACAGCATTAAGTCTGGTTGCAACAAATTGGCATTACTTTTGAAATATGTTAAATTCTTTTTTAACATATGTTGTTCATTATTTATGTACAATATGAAAAATAAAAATTCTAAACACTAAAAATTAATTAATTTAAATTAAATAAAACAGACTGAGTATTAGAAAGGTAATGGTTTACATTATTCTTTTATAATTAGACCTTGTGCTCACGGCGTTAAATTAATTTATTTATTTATGTATACGATCTTATTAGTAAATTAAAATGCTCATATGATTTTAACGGATGACTGGAATTTTATAACATGTTTCCAGTAAATATGCAAAATAGACTTATTTTTGAATTTGGCTGCACTAAAACTTAAGACGTAAAAAATCTTGTGAGTAGAATCTAATTCTGAAGAATTTATGATCATTGTTGTTGCTTTACATGTTTGTTTTCGAAAATTGCGAGTATTTTATTTGGTATTCTAATAGAAAAAATTACGGTTAAATAAATTGAAGTAAAGTAAATTGAAATTTCCTAAGGATTTTTTGCACTGCACTAATGTAAATATTTATTTATTCCACTTATATATTATTTTTGGTTAAAAGTTTTTAAATTTATTTATGAAACATCTTATAAAATTTTCACAATGGTAACACCTTGGTTGCTTAATTTTTATCTAAATTACCCTACTTGCAATTTCGGTAAATACCAACATTCCCTACCATACTGACATAATTTACTATATCCTTGAAAATCCTATCAATTTATTAGTACTCGCACACGGCCTTTGTATATACATATGTATGTGTCCATAACTTTATAACACGAAGGTGGTTAAAATTAAATATCTAAAGTTTTTCTGAATTAACGCGTTAATTTATAATCAACGGAATTTCAGTGAAATACATAATTAAAAAGAAAAATTTAATATTAAATTTAATTTCTAAATAAAAACTATGTATTAAGAGAGAGCCTTTTGATTTAAAAGAAATTTTATTATTTTTAATTTTATTTTAAATTTTCATTCAAAATCCTTATAGCTGGCATTGCCGTTTGTAAACATAAACGAAATTGGCAATCACAACAAAACACAAAAGAGCATAATTTTTAATATAATGGCAGTGCTGTCAAGAAGGCATATTGAGAAGCAAACGAAACAAAGTGTAAGAGAGAGAGCATGAAGAAGAATATAAACAACAAAACTGGAAACGATAGCAACAAACTGTTGTTGCTGAACTCCGGCGGCGATGCAAGCCCAAGCATGAGAATATGTTGAAATAATGAAGTAGTACAAAAACAAAAACAAAAACAAAAATGATTTAGAAAAACAGCTGCAACATCAACAATAGCATGGCACAGGTACGAGAGTTGCTGTTACAGTTGCTTTGTTGGCTATGCTGGTTACAATACGAAATGCGTTTGTAGTTGTTGGTGTTGTTGTGGTTGTTGTTGTCATTGCTGAAATTGGTGGTGGTTGTTTGTTTGCTGCTTGCGTTGTCAACGTTATCACTGCAATGTTGTTTTTGTTATTGGACTTATTGTTGTCGTTGTGTTGTTGCCGTGTTGCCGTCGCTTGCGTTGCTATGTATGCTGAACAGCAAAATAACGTTTTGGGTAAACTAAATAACAGGCAAAATAAAGTAATTTAAATTATTGCTCACTCTTTCGCACATACACACTTTAGCACCCAGCAAGATTACAACGTCGATTGCTGTTTTCGCAGCAGCTGCTGCTTGTATTGTTTTGGTTTTGTGTTGTTGCTGCTGCCATAATACTTTGTTTTGTTGCCTGCCTGCCTGCCTGCATATCGCATATATTGAATATTTCGTCGGCAACTTCGTTCAATATTTTATACATTTGCTTGCTTGTTTTTTTCAGTCTTACATTGTCGTTCGTTTGTGTTAACAACGCGTTTGTTGCTAGCAATAATTCTGCGATAACAATTGTTGGAGTTGATTTTTTGAGTTTTAGGATTGATATAGCGATATTAATTTAGAAAATATATAAAAATGTCAAATTCAAATGATTCCAAACCGGACAATTATCAAATAAATGCAAAAATTTGCGGTTTAGTGGAGAAATATCCGTGCATGTATGATCGTTCGCATCCGCATTATTTGAAAAAAGATGTTGTTGACAAGGCCTGGATAAAAATTGCCAAAGAAATGGAGGATTCAAGTGAGTAGTACAAAGTGCAAACAACAACAATACACAGCAATAAAATATATGCGATTTTTTTACGGAATTACTGCCTTCGTTGCTGCTGTAATTGGTGTTGTAGTTGCTGATACAGCTAAGGCAGCGCGTAAGCGTTAGCTTTTTAATGCAACCAATAAACAGTTTATGATAAGATAGAGGGGGCAACATAGCACACCATGCTGTGAAGGGGAGCGTATGCCGCGAATTACTTATGGCGTTGCCATAGTGAAAATTTTCACGTTCTCAAAATTTAAATGCAATTAATAAGGCTTATAAAAGTTTAATATTACTTAATAATTTTTGATAAAAATGAAAAATTTATTAATTTTAAAAATATATTAAACTCAAATGAATATTATTGGTGTGGCATTTTGTTGTCATTGATTGTCGTTGTTATTGATAAATTGTGTATATGTGTGTGTTT